TGCTTATCATTCAGATGATGACAGTGAGTCAGATGGGATATCCTTATGTTGCCTGAAATGGCATTTGTTTTTCAGCATAAATTTTTTAAGAAGTGGTGCAAACATACTGTGAGATAACATTCTCAAATTTAGGCTATACTATCAAAACATGTTATCATTTATCAGCAATGGCTCTAAAAAACACATGTGATCCACTTGTCTCCTCAAGCTGAGAACTGTGGCTGGGAATGAAAGAGGAAGCTACTCTGCCTCTGAAACTGTTGAGTTCTTATGTACACTAAAGATACTCTCCTTCTGGCACAGAGAGATCAGAGTGAGCCAGAAAGTGTAATGCACTCATCAGCTAATGAGACATCAGCTAGGGCTTTTACTCATAATCTTATTTTGATGGGGAAAGGCAGTTTCTGCAGCTCCAGCTATACAACTCTAATCGAACAGATAGGATTCAACAGTGAACACACATATAGAAGGCTCACTGCTGCACTGTAGCTGGAGAGATGCTTATGGACTGAAAGACAGTTTCTTAGAACATGATTAAGCCCCCCTACCATCTGTTAGCTGCTTCAAAGTTACGGGTTACATTAGTGTCCGCACACAGGCAACAGTCTACAGCCAAGAGAGGTTTGACTTGCTTCACTGGGGCATTAATTTTATTGTGCAAAATAAAGTATCTCTGAAAACTTAAATATAGAATAATTTAGAGTGGTGGTCGCTGGAGATTTCAGGCAATACTCTGAACACCATGAGAGGCAACTAAAAAAAGCAAGGCTATTCTGGTAAGACTTAAATGGTCTCCTGCTGGTTCAGCAGAATTTCCACACCAGCTTTACACTGCTGCAGCATTGCAAACTTGACTGAAGACAGTCCTGAAACTGGCTCAGTAACTGATGCATTGGCAAACTCAGAGTTTTCTTTAGGTTTGAATTTATATGCAGAGAATAGTTATAGCCAGAAATCTGGTTTGGGGTTTCTGTGGTGGGTTTATTTTTTTTTTTTTTTTTTTTCTTTTTTTCTTTTCACCGAACATCAAGCCATCAAGCTGTTCCTGGTCATAATACTGATAAAACATTTGGGAACTGCATCAAGGTTCTTCAGGTTTGGTTGCAGCAATGATTGATGGGATTTTAATCCTGTTGACATTTGCCTCAGGTAGGAAGTGGGGAAAGCCCGTAAAATGATCAATTGGCTTTAATATCCCTAACATCTGTTCAAGTTTTTGTTTGAGTTATATATGTTCTCTGGCTGATACAGGAATTCTTAATGCCTCATCTTTACTCTTCCCAGCAGCTGTCATTGGGCATTGCCTCTGAGAGTTGGAGGCTGACAGAGACGACTGAGCCAGGTGCATAAATATTATTTTATACTTATGTATAATACATTATATTGAAAACATCTTCTGCATTTTCATAACTTGAAGCAGAAATTTTGGAAGGTATCATCTGTTGGATGCAAAGTATATATTTTTCTATATAGATTTGAAAAGTAACTGTCACACATGTATCACACACTGCCATGTGTGTTGTCAGTATTTCAGAAGTCCAACTGCCATGTCATCCCACTGATACCCATTCAATTAACCCAACAGAATTACCAGCCCCATCTCATTCCATCCCATTTATGTCTAATGGGCCTGATGTGTAACCTGAAGATTAAACACTGGTTTTCTTCTGTGAAAAGTGGAAAGTCTAGATTTTAAACCAAAAAGAGCAACTTGATTTTTTAAGATTTTTGTAATCTGATGTAATGTTTAAGGAAAAAAAAAAACCTTATTTAAAAATATCATTTTGAGGTTCTGAATTCAGTAAAGACCAACAGAAGCAGCATTTTTGTAGGCTAGCTATATGAATGCCCATTGGAATTTTATCCTAAGTGTACACTCAGTTCCTGTATTGGTTATGAGCCTGATTTAGACAATCAGCTCTGCTCTGCAATCACTTCAGAAAACATTGCACTTGCTTTTATTAAATATAGATAGGAACCCTTATGTCTGTTATAATCAGCTGAAACAAGAGCATGCTTGAAACTGTAGGGCTCTTAGCATGAAAATTTCACCAGTCTTTGAAACAAGGAGAACACATTTTCTTGTTTTCATGTACACCATGTAAGAGAAGTCAAGACATCTTTCCTTTACTGTCTCACCATGGCATAATAGAATGGAATTGGTGAAAACAGTGACTAATGTGTGTTATTTAACAAAGTTAGAAATTCTGCCTGGCATTTGCTCCGAATACCAAATGTAGTGCCTCTGTTTCATAACCAGCAAGGGAACACAGGAGAGTATACAAGTTAAAACTATCCACCAGATACTGTATTTGATCTTCTCATTCATGTATGCTTACTTCACAAGGCCCTTATTCTGAGGATCATGAATTTTACTTTAAAGATGGGGCATTTTTAATTACAGTGTAGACTGATCTACTCACAAATTTTGATTGCAGAAGAATTCACTAACTCGATATCCTGTAAAAACACAGCAAAAAGTTGCACCAGGTGTTTTATAATGAAATCTACCACTCCAGGACAAGGCAAAATACTACTGTATAACATTACCTCCAATGATCTGCTCTCCCAGGTTCATGCTGCTTTTGGACACTAGGTTTCATATCTCCCCCTCCATCTTCTTTCAAGGAACTCAAGCAGGGTTTTGTCCTGGCTGGGAAGGTGTGTTTATCTTTCATCTCTGCCTGAAGGGATTAAAACTTACATCTTGTAAACCCTGGAAGAATGTTTTTCTTCTCCATCCTGGCTGCTTGGTGTTGACAAGAGTCAGGTGCTTTCCAGTATCCAGGGAAGAAGTCCAAGAACCTGTGAGCAGTCATGGCAGACAGTGCACCTACTCACTTTAGAAGCCACAAGAGTCAGGCAGAGGGTGGGTGGAAATCTCAGGGATCGCAGTTCTGGTAATATACATGCGGAGTAGGAGCTTGGTAACATTTAGGTAATTAGCATGTAGATGGTTAGCTCAGATGGAGCCCTAAGAAAACATCCTTAAGAAAACGTAACCTGTTGGAACATCCAAGTATCATCCTAAAACTATCAGTGTGAATTTCAGTTAACTCCATTGAAGCCATGAGAGCTATTTCATACATTCATATAATCCAGAGTAAACAAATGAGAATAGACCCTTGCCTCAGTTTCTGCATGCACAAAAATGCAACAGACTGTTTATCTATCTGCCTCCTATTCCAGTATTACTATTGTACTTTGAGTCTACATGTCTATTGGTAAATGTAAAGGGAATATTCCTGAGCACTGGACTGAAATTTTCTATGACGTTAATTTGTCCTCAGTGCTTCTTGGGCTTGTGCCAGCTATCCTATTCCCAGACTCATGGTGGAGTTACCTCGTAAGAGGGATTAATGAAGTTTCTGATAATGCCCACTGTCACCTCAAAAGGAAGAAAGCTACATAAGCAGTATTACTCACAAATCACAGGTCTTTCCATGCCAGCTCGTCTCTGTGCCAAACATGACAGGCATGTCTAGATACACCTAACTTACTAGGAAAGAAACAGACTAATGTTCCTAAGTCGAACTGGTGTGGATTCAAAACACAGCCTGTTCCTTCCTTATGGGGTGGTGACCAAAAATGACACAGAAATTGTAGCTATAAGCTAGGTGAGAACCCACCCAGGTGTTCAGTTGACTTCCCAAACACCTCTTCCAGTTCTGCAGCTTTATCTACCTTTTTTTCCAAAGAGATTACTGTGGGTGAAGGATTACTTGAAATGTAATCACAGAAACAGAACAGCAGGCTGTATACTACCTGGCTCGTTTTGCACCTTCCCTATCTCCATTCGGTGACCCTAATGTGTCAATATTTGGTATGACTAACTTGTAAATACAGCCATACCAAGCTATTTCATGCAAAGGGCCTCTCTCTCCTATTTGTTGAAGTGCTCATTCAATTTATGTGTTTCTTCACGAGCCTTAAGGTGACTGGAAACAAACCATGAAGCCAAAGAGAAGGAAGGATTCTGGACTCCTGACAGAGCCTTCTTGCTCAGTCTTGCCTCTGGGTGTCTTTCTTCATCCTGTGCTGTATTTGTCCCTTTTTCTTTAGTAACTTTCTTGTGACAGCATGGACAGAGATTTTTGTGAAAACACATGTACATACCATTTATACGTTACTTTTAAAGGAAATTGGGTAATACAGGTAAGAATAATAAAGCAGTAGTCAGAGACTACAACTGCATGAAGTAAGAGGGTGAAGGGTCTGGAGCACAATTCTTATGAGACACAGCTGAGGGAACTGGAGGTTGTTTCGTCTAGAGAACGCTCTTGGGGGACCTTAGCGCTCCCTACAGCTATGTGAAAGGAGGTTGTAGTGAGGTGGGTGCTGGCTCTCCTCCCAGGTAACAAGTGATAGGACAAGAGGAAATGGTCTCAAGCTGTGCCAAGACAGGTTTAGATCAGATATTGAGACAAATTTCTTCACAGAGAAGGTGATCAGGCATTGGAACAGGCTGCCCAGGGCAGTGGTGGAGTCACCGTCCCTGGAAGTGTTCAAACACCGTGTGGATGAAGCCTGCGGTGACATGGTTTAGTGGTGGACTTGGTAGTCCTGGGGACTTGATGATCTTACAGGTCTTTCCCAACCTGGTTGATTCTATGGAGGCGTGCAGCGCTGTGAAGGGCTATTCGCAGCTGTCCTGCAGCCCTCCCGCCCCGCTCCCTCCGCTCGCCCTGTGGCCGGCGGGACACGGCGGCTCCTCCGGGGAGTGGAGGGGCGGTGACCGCTAACGGCCGCAGAACGGGCCCTCACGCGAGTGTGGCGGGACCCTCGTGGTGGCCTCGTCCCTCAGCGCCGCCCGGCGGCAGCGCCTTGCCGAGGCTGGGCACCGGCCGCTGGGGGCCGCTGTTGCCTCTGCCTGAGTAGGTGCCGGCGGCGCGCGCTACCTGTGCGCGGTGCTCAGCAGAGCTGCGGTCCCACCGCCGCTGCCTTCTCAGGGGGCGGGCTCGGGGCACCGCCCGCTCGCAGCCCGCCAGCTTGCGGGGCTTGGGAAGCGCGCCCGCAGCGCGGTCCAACTCCGTGTTTGCCCGTTTCGGCTGCCAAGGGAGAGGTTTATCCACACAGTCAAAGTAAACAGGAAAGTTCAGGCGGATCGTGTTTCAGCCCCTCCACTCCGAGGGGCTCCGCGGGGAGGGCGGCAGGGGCTCGGGTTGCTGGTATTCGCTGAGGGAGCTCTAGCTCTCACAGGGAACCGCTACGTTCCCGGGGTGCCCCCACCCACCACGGCCACCACCTCCCCTTCCCTTGGGCTGTCACCGCTTCCGAGGGAGCCGGCGGCAGAGGGGCCGGCGGGGCTCTCCTGCCGGTGGCGCTGCCTTCTCCCTCTTCCCCACCGCACCCGGCCCCGATGGGAGCTCTTCCAGGCAGCGCCGCGCCACAAGCCCAGGAAGCCGCTTGGCCACCCGGGACCGCCCGTGCCAAGAATCGGCGAGGAGGGCGACGCGCCCGCTTCTCCCTCCCGCCCGCCCAGACCCCGCTCCAGCCACCTCTCCGCGTGCTTCCCGGCCGGTGGGAGCAGAAAATAGCCTTCCTCTTCCCCGGCAGCGCGCCCGCGCCCCAACACCTCCCCTTCCCCGCCGCGGCCAGGCGCGGAGTTCCCGGTAAACAGGCGTCTTCCCCGCCAGCCCCCGCCACCGGTCCCAGGCGGGGGAACGGCAGGAGCGGTGCTGGGGACCCGCCGGACGGGGAGCCGCGCCAGGCACATCAATATTTCAGCGGCTCCTCGACACGGTTCTAATTAAAGGCTCGGGCGAGGCGGACACCCCCCCCCCCCCATATTCCCGCGGCCGCCCCCTCCCACTCCACACACACACGCTTGGGACCGTCTCTTTACGTCGGAGAGAGGCGAAGGAGTGACTGAGCCCTACCGGGAGAGCCGAGCGAGGGGGAGGGACGGGGGGACCGGGGAGGGAGGGAAGGGAGGGCGGGAAGGGGGGGGCTTGTGCAAGCAGCGACGCTCCCGGGGTTGCCAAGTGGACTTTTATTGTTTTCCACCCACTTCCAAGTCGATACTATCTGCCGTCTTATGTCCATCCTATAGCCTATATAAGCAGCTGCGCCCGGGCTGCCGGCGATGGAGTAGTTTGTGGATACGACAGAGCGCAGGGACGTGAGAGGGGCGGGCGGGCCAGCCGCAGAAAACTTGGGACTCCGCGCAGCTCGCGAGCTGTTGCCGTCCGGGGAGCGGCTCCCGGGGGAACAGCGCCTTGGCTCCGGGGAAACGAGAGACAGGTAACGCAGCCGGGAAGGGCCAGCAGCCCTTCTTCCTCCCCTCCTCTGTGTTCACCCCTCCCGTCCTGCAGGGCCAGCGGCCCGGCGGGGCAGTGCCGGTGACAGCCCGCGGGCCGGACGCCCGCGGGAGTTAGTGGCGACCCGCCGCACGGAGCGCGGGGCAGCCGGTGCATGAGGCTGGCGAGGGGGCAGCTGTTCGTCCGAAGGCGAACGGCCCCCGGGACGAGGTACCTCCGCTGCGGCTGGCTGCCGCTCCCTGTGGAGGTGGCCGGGACCGTCCGCGCCCCTTAAGAAAGGACGGGCGAAGGGAAGGCCGGCATTACCGCTCCCTGCCCCCGGACGGCTGTCCGCCAGCCGTGCACCGCCCGTCCCGGCTCTCCTGCCCGCAGCCCCATCGCGGCGCGTCGCAGGGCGGGGGACTCTCTGGATGCACGGCTGCCGCCGCTCTTCAGCAAGAAACTTCGTGGAAAGTTGTCGCCCCTCGCCCCGCTCCTCAACTCCACTCCGAGGTGGGGCGGGACGCACCGCTAGCCGCCGCAACCGGGGAGTTGCTCCGGCAGCTCGCCGAACAAGGGGCTCCCGCCGAGGCTGCCCGCTCTGCGGCCCTCTGCTCAGCTGCGCAGCCCGCCCTCCCGTGAGCCCGCTGCTCTGCCCGCTGCTCTCCCCGCTTCGTAAGCTGCGAAGCGGCCTCCCCGCTTTCCTCCTGTAACATTTCCGATTTCACAGCCATGAGTCTCTCCACCCCCGACCCACCCCCGTTTTTCTCTTCCAGTGAAAGAGGCGGCCTCCCGCGGCAGCGGATCCTTCCTTCTCGTCTGCTCCTGAACCCTTCGGGTCAGACCGCAATGAGTGGACTGAGGTCTCCTGGGCTGCTGGGGCTGGTGCTCTTAATGCTCTCAGCAGGGTACTGCAAAGAGAAAACTGACTCCTCAGATTTGAAGGACAGACAGAGTCTCCTAAATCTGATCATGGAGATCATTCAGGAACTGAAAAGGTACCACCTGGAGAAGGACAGTGGGATGCAGTACTTCTCCAAGCACGACTATAACTTAGATAGAAGGGAAGTGGCCGACTACGGAGGATATCAGGACGAGCAGAGAGTTGGTAAGTCACAGTCTATGACTTGGGAGATCTTTTTCCCTGGGATGCCTTGGTGAATGAGACGTCACACCAGGTTACTAATTTTATATAAAGAATTCACTGCTCAAAATACCTGCAGATTCCCTTTGGTACTAGAAAGAGACACAGATGGCAATTTGGGATAGAAAAGCTCCATTCACATCTCAGAGTCTCTTAGTCTCTGGATAATGTGCTGAACTGAAAGTCCAACTTCCTGTGTGCTGGCTTCGAATAAAACCTATTAATAAGGGAAAAAAAATCTAAATGGTCTGAGATCAAAGAAGTAAGGGATGAAACCACTCCTGAAAGTTTACCACTTTTTAAAATGTGCTTTAAGTGTTTCTTGGAAACAACCCTAGTGAGAATTTCCCCTCCAGGACTATAGTATGTCCTCGTAGATCTCACAGCTAGAAGTCTTTCCTGCAGCTCAGCTTCATTAAAACTTTTTGCCCTGCTTATGAGTCCTTTTTGTACTACAGAGATAGCACCTTTGAAATACTAGGAAGGGAAACAGAATACTCCTCTGTCACAGTGCAAGCTATGACCACTTTGGGACCCTCCTCAGTCATCTTCCTACTCGTTGGAATGGCTCTTCTGTAACCTTCAGTGGAAGCCCCAGTTGGTTTGTAAGACCTTGTTCACAGTTGTACAGATAAGTCCAGAAACAGTCATACTAAGCCACACAGTGATGGATCGTTACCACTCAGTTTTGTGATGTGCTTCTGTGCATCTAGCTGAAAGTTGATGTGGCTTCTCTTACTGCCACCTCTAACATACCATTTGCTGTCACTCTCAAACCCCTACAGCATTACTGCTGCTCATCTTACCCCTCCTACTGAACGGAGTAGTTGCTACTAGTTAGGAATATTTGTTAGCAGCTGCCTACTCACCTTTTCCCAAACTGGCTTTCATTTATTAGTGTGCTGTTTATTTTGCCTTTATTGGTCTCAGGAAGCTTCATTGTACCTCTTTTTCATTCTCATTCATATTCAAATATCCTCATGACTTGCATTTGTTGGTGGTTGTCATGAAAATGTTACTTCTCCATCAGGTTGATTAATGAATATACAAAAGAAGACAGTTTTGTTCCACTTAAGATCAGCAGAGTGAGAACGTTTTGTTTTATAAATGCGGAAAAGTTAAGCAGGCCCAACTAAGCAGGGAACCCTGATCTGCAGGACTCTCAATCTCAACCTGGAACATGGGCATAGTTTTTGGTCACTCTGCATCAGCATATTGGTGTGAAACATCTGGTTTGTGCTAAGTTATCTATGTAAATAATAAACCTACTTAAGAGTAGATTATTTAGTAGTGGTGTTACTGACTCCTAAGCAGTATTTTTCACTCTGTTATTATAATGGAGTTATTCCCAGCAACTCTGAAAAGGAACTACTGCTTGGAGTCTTTCATTTCAGTTTTGGCATCACTTTCCCAGTAAGCCTGTCCCATGGGAAATTTCTGAGTAAAGCATGTGTGTTTTTAATGCTCTTCACAACATAATTAGGTCAAATATGATATGGTCAATTTTACTTACACTGACTAAAGTCAGAAGTAAATGAAGAATGACTTTCGAGAAGTGTCTAACCTCACAAGTGATTCAGATCTCGATGGAAATGCTCTCTCCCTTATATCTGACAAGAGGTGCCAGGGGAATGAAAAAGGCTGCTCAGGCATTTTTGGTCAAATAAATAAAGTACCGTGTAGTGTATCATACACAATCAGCACTATGCTATCAGCATACACTTGGTAATGGAAAGCAGTCAAAATAGCTGTAAATCAGGAGGACACAAGCAAGGGTTAGAGCTAAAATGAATTTCAGTAAACCAGTTTCATTTTGCTATGTGCTGAACGCAAAATGCATGGCGGTAAACCACAAACGTAGGGAGCCAGAAGAGAGCAATTTGCTTGGGATCATTTCCTGTGAATTTTGTTTACTGCTAAAGGAGGCAGGGGGAGATTCCTGTAAGTAGATCAGTCCAGCTTCATGACTGCAGCAGGACAGCGCTTGTACAAACGTACCTGTGACAAAAGAGTGGATATATTTGAATACACCTTTGAGTCTTCATTACTAGCAGTATATACAACCATGAACTAAAATTTGTGGAAGAATTTAAATCTAGGTAGTCTTGATAATCTGACTCTTACTTGTTGTCATCATTAATGAGTGCACACCTAACAGACATAACTTCTTTCATCATCACAGTGTATTTCACATTGCATTTTACTGTGGCTTCTTATGTAAAACAAATGTTTGCAATCTGGCCTACTGTATGCAAAGGACTTTTGACCTCTGTGTGTCTGTCAAGATGGAGTGGTGATGTTTGCTGGACAGTTTATTCCCTGTCCTCATCCTGTGCTTGGCAAGCACATTTCCAGTGCAGCAGAATGACTGTTCTATTTTTTTTTTTTTGTCTTGACAGAAATAGTTCCCAGAGATCTGAGGATGAAAGACAAGTTCTTAAAGCATTTAACAGGTATGTTTTAATTTTGCATTTGTAACCATCATTTCATGTACATACCATAAGCTGCACTACTCTTCCTGTGAGTTCTGCTGATTCATAACGTATTTTTAATTTCTATTTCAGGTCCACTCTACTTTAGCCCAAAATGTAGTAAACACTTTCATCGGCTTTACCACAATACAAGGGATTGCACCATCCCAGCATGTAAGTCCCAAAGCCAGAGGCCTTCATAAAAAACCTAGAACCTAAAACTTAATAGCTCTATAAGGTACCAGTAGTGATACCATGTTACATTACATTCTGTGCAATGAAGAATTTGGAGTGCTCTAAAATGTACCGGGTATGCTTTACAGTGTTGCCAAAACAGCATCAACATTACAGTGAGGAAAATGGAAACACAGCTTTTTCACTGCAGATATACGGCTCAGAATGGCTGTAAACACAGGACTGATGTACATGATTCTCGTTCAAAAGGCATTTGCTTTTTGCAGGAACACATAACTCCTCTCACAAGCCTCTCTCACAAACCTTTAGTTTCTAGTGCTGCAAGTTCAAGGTAGGATAAGAAATCCAAGTGGGGCTATTTCCTTTTCAGTGATCATTTAAGTTGAATATGTTTTATAGACATTTTATTCTTTGGTCAGCTACAAATCTACCAGTGATGTTGCCAGTGAATCTTTGCAATCCTTAGGGCATTCGAAAAGTGTCACTTCCTAAGGCTTAGCTGATGGACACAGATAAGCAAATTCAACTTACAAGATCTCATCAGTGCTGACAGCACAAGAGAATTTAAAAAAAAAAAAAATCAAACATTGACATTTATCAGTCAGTAGATGTGACTCCAGACTCATACTGAGGTGGACCTGTTGTGTAAGCAGATGCTATTTTAGTACAGCCTTTTCAGAATGGAAGCACACTTTATTTTACTTGTCTGAGGTCAACCAGTTGGGTCAGTAGCAGAGCTGGGAATAGAAACAAGCGTTAGAGATTCCAAGTTTTAAGTATTAATAAATATTTCAGCCCAATATATTTTAAAGGCATATTTGGTAAGAACTGCAGACTTTTTCCCTATTTGTAAGGCTTCACATGAGGAGTACCTGGGAAAGATAAGGATTTACACATAATGGCTGACCAGATCACATTCCGTTTACATGGATGGAGATGGAAGTTGTTCATAACTAGTCTGCTTTGAACCATCAAATGGTCACATTACCTGTTTCTTAAGGACCACAACACAAACATCATTTGACTCAATACTAATGAGTACTCAAAGCTAAAATCTAGTTGCTCTTACAGTCTGAATTTGCCTTTTCCTCCTGACAGGTGACATACCCAGTATCACGTCTGGATAATAGAGAATAATTTATATGAATGGCAATTATACAATATTATAATATTGTTAACACTGCATCTCTAGGAAACATTAGATGTAGATACTCATTAATGAAATAATGCCTAATGAAAATCAACATTAGTCACCAGACTGTATGACTAGCATCTTTCTAGTAACTTTCTTCCCAGTAACTTTCTTCTAGGAAAATGAGGTAAACAACCTGCTTGAATTCTGCATTCATACTGCATCATACACAGTATGATGTTACTTTATGAAAATATTCTGATTTCAGGTAATTCTGTTCATTCTGTGTAGAAATTCAAAGGCCAAAGAAATTAAAAGTGTCTATGGTACTGCAACATGGTGGTAGCCAGTACAGAAGCATACCTTCTGAGACTTTATACAGCATAGCAGCATTGGCACCTAAAAAGTAATATACTCTGCTATCTGTCCATAACTAAATTTCACAATATTTGCCTTCAGTTTTCCATGTTGAAAAAATAAAAACAACCCCCTCTTAATTTTTCAGTTTTACATTGTTTCTGCCCCTTATTATGATGCATCAAAAAAGCAGAAGGTACTCAAAATAAGGACTACTAACAATAGGAAAAAAATAATTTTATTAGTTTTAAGATGAAGCTCCATACAGTTATGAATTAATTTGTATGATGTGGTCACCTACTCAGGCTGGAATTAACATTCCTGTAACTAGGAGATGTTATTTGTCTAATTTAACAGTTTTTCCATTAAGAAAATTTATTGGGGTTGCATTACTTAATATTAAGTTGATAGACTTGCTCCCTGAGGGCTAGATTTTAAAGATGGATGTGCACTACTTATTCTTCCTCTAGCATGGAAATACTGCAGTGACATGTTTACATCCCACATTTAAACACAGACAAGGATATACACATTTTCGTAGGTACATACATTTGGAGATCCTCCAAGCACATTCATGCTATTTGTTTATAGACAGTACATGTGCAGAAGTCAGTTGCATATGTGCCACTGGACATGGCTTTCAGTAATGCAATTTTTACACACTATTTCTAAGTCTAAAAGTCTGATTTCTATACTGATTTCTATACACCAAACTAAGGTGTTCATTTACAACAACAATAATTCGAACAGTTACAAATTTTTATTTTTAGAGGCAAAATTGGTTACTTTAGTAATTTTATTTATGCTCTTTTCATGACAGACTATAAAAGATGTGCCAGGCTTCTTACTCGGTTGGCAGTAAGCCCAATGTGCATGGAAGGATAAAGGTAAGCTTTCTCATAGCAGTAATGACACTTAAGTGCATAGCAAAGCACTGAAAATTTATACATGAAAATTTATGGGCATGTAATATCACTTGTCCTTTGGCTAAGGTATCCCCTTTCAGAGTACTTTAAGTAACTGTCTCAATCTGGCAAATACTGGCAATAAGTAAAGGGTACCCCCTACTGGAAGTCTTTATAGAGAAGTCCATGTGCCTCAGCTGGGAATTACTCATAGCAGTATACAGTTATCAGAATGTGTTGTTACAGAACAAAACACAACAGCTGTAGCTTATTTTTCAAAAGTTGACTCAGTACACAATTGCAGCAGCCCTTTTATGTGTGCAGCTGTAGATCTATGGTGTGCATTTTAGGATGAGTTAATATATACATAGATATACACATGAAATGCAGATAGGTTGCAGGTGCTTTCAAGCAGTTCCATTAAAATGTATTATTAGTAGCATTGATAAACCAACTTTAAGCTACTCAGACTTTTTGGCATTTTCGTTGTGTTCACCTCTCATATCTATGGGTTTATGTATTCCACTTTTGCCTAGATGTACCTCTATCTCCTACAAATACTTGGGGAATTTCACCATGCACCAAAACAAAACCAAAAGCCAATCAACAAAAAAAAAACAAAAAAACCCCCACCAAATAAAAAAAAAAACCAAAAAAAACCCTTTCAAACTATCTGTATTTATAGAAAACCAACACATAAGGATAAAGAAGGACTAATTTACATTCTGTCCTCAACCTTTACCTGAGACAAAAAATGTGAGCTCTGACAAAGGGATAAATAATAACCCCTGTGGATCTGTCAGTAACAAATGCTATCAAACCAAGATACTTTGTCACAAATTACACATCTTGTAGGGAGTCTGTGAGAAAAAGCAGTAAATTAAGCATCTTAGTTTATTTTTTTAAAGCACTGACACTGTTCATACTGAAGAGTCTAAAACAGGATAAAATTTAAAGAGCAGAATTATGAAGTCATGCAGGAGTAATCAACTGCAGAAATACATGGGATGTTGTGAATAGGCAGACACAGTTCTGTAGAAAATGCAGGGGCTGTAGTAAATCACATACCAAGTGTGACAACCATTTCACACTTGGAAAAAGACAACATACTAGAATTCATGAATAGAATCATTGTTTATAAACCACCTGAAATAATCAGTGTTGCTGCAGTACTACATTTCAGGACACCACACCTGAAGACCTATGGGTGCTTCCTGTGAGGATCTAAAGAAGTGCAACATAGATGACCAAAGACCTAGAAAACTCAATTTACAAGAACAGCTAAAAGGATTTGGGATTATTTAATCTAAAACCAAGATGATTGCAGGAAAACATGATGGAGCTATTGAGTTTAATAAAAAGTAGCTACAAGCCATTCTTTTTATCCAGTGTTGATAAAAAAAATACTTTTTAATTTTGCAACAAGAGAGGATTCCAGCTAGATATAAGACTTTTCTAGTGGCAAGGGCAGAGATAATACATTAGATGTAATTCAGCATCCTGAATTTACACTAAACTCCTCAACATTTCCTTAAGTGTTTTCTCCCTGACTTCCTAAAATAAACCTAAACTAGCCCAGCTTCAATGTGGAATGTTTCTAACGTTCAGTAACTTTTACACTACTTGTCTTAATTTGAAGCCTGCAGCCATGGAGAGGAATCTTACTCACAGAATCACAAAATGGTTTGTGTTGGAAGGGACCTTTCAAGATCATACAGCTCAACTGCCCCCGCCATGGGCAGGGGCACCTCCCACTCACTCAGGTTTCTCAAGCTCTATCTAGCCTGGCCTTGAACACTTAGGGATGTGAATACATCATACATCATATGTTCAGGAATGGAATTTTGGAAACAACTGCATACAGTATTTGGATAAATAAAAGTTAGCAATAGGTAACTCCTTTTATCTAACTGAAGAAAGGCTAGTGATTCAACCTTTCAATTGTGAAATCCAGAAAGCAAGGAACAAATAAGCCATTATCTACTCACCTGTGAAAGATAAGTGACTAATGTTATTGCCAATGCTAATAAGCAGATACATCAGACTAGGGAATTCTTTTCTCCCTTTTCTTAGAAAGTTTTATATGTACCTTTACATCTTGTCATGTAAACATAAACTCAGAATACAAAGGAATAGTAACTGAAGTAGTTCACAGCTCAAGCTGGGAGTCTATTTTAAAAAAAATCCACATCATTTTGCCAAACAGTGCCTTGGCTCAACTAGCAGGCATGTTTCAGCAAGAATAGCAAGCCTCACTTCTGTTATTCTCCACACAGGCACAAATCATTAATACTATCAGCACTCATAAGTAACCTCCATTGGTAAAGAGGAAGGTTATTATCTACCACACATGCCTTGATAACTACAGGTGTCTTCATAAAATTAAGCACCATCCCTCCTCACAGCTTCTCCACTGCATCAGTTCAATTTATGTGCGTAAGACATCTCCTCTCACGCAGAAGTATAATGCAGGCCTTATTTGTTTTTGTCATGTCATAGACTGAATTGTAGAAAAATGGGTTCTTTTGCATTTTTCCATTTACCTTTCTCACCATGAAGCATGTAGTTATCATTAGTCCAAAATATTTTCAAGAAGTTGCAAAGTTTTGAACATGGTACCACTTGTATGTAGCAAGAAGAGATTTCAAAGCCATTTCATACTTAAGATGGCTTTCTGGTATATGAAGTTTATTTGTAGTAAGGCAATAGGTAAACACTTCTGGTTTCTGCTATAAGGCTACTACTTAGTATCAGTTCTAAAGCTCAGACTAGTGCTTGAATATTAGTTAACAAAAATTTCTTATATGATACTGCTCCACAAAGGTCTAAATTAGATTTCCTGTTTTGCTTAGTATGTGATTTTCACTTCATTGGATGCTTACGCGTGGGCTGGGCTACAGATGAATTACTGCTCTCTGATACTTAGGCAAACTAAGATGACACATTTTTCAGATACACAGATATCTGTCCATTGGTTTGGGGGGAAGTTAAAAAAAAAAGGATTTGATTTTTATTTGTACTTTAAATGTATTTTGGACTATCATAGCTTTAAAGCACTCAAGACACTGAAACTAACTGTTAAGATCAAACAGGAAGAAGTGAAAACAGGAATTGGGCATCTGTTACTGTCACAGTACATACCTAAAGGTATGTGTGATACAATGTGCATTACAGAGCCTTCACTTTTCCTCATTTATCCTACACATATGTAACTGGGCTCCCTCTTCTCTTTAAGAGTACATGTTCACATTTTGCCTGTCCCACAGCTGTAAGCAATGCAGGGACTCAGAAACAGCGAAAACACTCTGATAACTGAAATTGTCTTTGGAACTCAATCTTTGTAAACCCCTCAGGATATATTGACCATACTAGTAATGTATGTTAAAAAAGCTGAAAATACAAGATAAACTTAGAAACTTTAAATGCCTACAGGTAAAACTGAAATTACCACAATAAATATCCAATTCCTGTACACCATTTAATATAGCCATTAATTCAAACTATTCTTAAACCAAAATAATATTTCAGCTCTTATGTTTTGCTTCAGGTGTTTTGTAACAATGGAACCAACAGCCCTTAATTGCTTTCTCTCTTACACAGCTTCTAATTCAAACTAGTATCAAGTGCCCTCAAGAAATGTCAGATGCTTTCATTTCATAAAAGAAGTGAAGGTAGAATTAAGATGTGGGGTTTGCATACTATTCAGTGAAGGCAGACCCTTCTCTAGATTTATCACATATTACTTCCTATGACATGTTCTATCACTTCTGCTTGGTGACAGGAAGCAGTGCCTACAGTAACAAGTTTAAGACTTTTATGAGAACTACTGCTTTGAACTAGAGAGGCAGACAGTGTAAATGGTTACTAGTGTGGTAGAGTACAATTTTTAATTTAAGTAGCAATTCTGCATTTTCCTTACTATGGGGTCTCTCTGTGGCTAGCACCAGATGTAAAATTATGAGCTTTATCAGCTTCAATGCACAGATCACTGCGATCTGTTGACATTAGAGCAGACTTCCACCTGGATATTCACCCAGGGAAGGAACTTCTTTTATAGCACTTGGAAGCTGAGCTACAAAATCCTGCTGGCACAGTATTTTAAAGCTTATATTAATATTTAAGCCACTAAATTCTTCTCTACTATAGATCAGCTTTATCTTAGAGAGTTTAATTCTATCATCATGAGCTGATGATAGAGGTTCCCAACAGAGACTTTAATCAGATAGCACTCAGGATCTTCACTAAGACTACCTGCCATTCTTCAGCTAAATTCCAGTCTAATTTTCCTAGACTGACGTATATAACATAACTACATGAAAAAAGTACAACAGATTGATTGATGCTAACAAATCTGGGGCCTTTTCAAGGGTTTCTGAAAATGCCAGGGATTTAGAAAACTGCAATTCAGCTGAGAATCTAGGACCCACAACTTTTGATCCAAAGGCAGGTATGGATGACAAATGAGCATCCTACCTACTTCCAGTTTTTCACCCTCAGTGAGCTGCACGTTCCCATTAGTATTAGTAATGAAAAAAAAACTATTAAATTCTCAGTGTTTAACTTGTCAGTTGTACCACACACTAATCAAAAGCATGTTTAAACATCACTTTTAAGCATCACACCTTAAACAGGGTACAGCAGAAGCACACATACGGAAAATAAGCTAGATGAAAATGCAAGACAAGGAAAATTTACGTCATTTTCCCCTCTACGGAAGGATATTTAAAAGAAGTATGTGTCCTATCTGCAAAGCCAGAAAAAAACCCTAAACTACATTAAGCTTTTCAGTAACATTATTACATTTCTTAATAGCTTTTAAAAATTGCAAAACTAAATATGTTTAAATACTATTAAAAAAAATTTCTGCATGCATCAATGGCTTGATTTCCAATGGATTATGTCAAGTCCAACTGACTCTGCATACAAATGATTCTGTTACAAGTTATACTTCAGCAGTAGAAAATGCAGAGAAACCCAAATCAGAGAATTGCCACTGATCCTGGGAGAGATGGTTACATATAGTCAGATAGACAATATGAAATCTTTTTCTGTGAAAAGTGACATCAGCAGAACTCTAGTATCAGAGAACACCTCTGTTTTATCTCCTACATGGACTTTTGGGGTCCATGAAACACAAGCTTCAGCTGAACTCTCTTGGCATGCAAAAGTACGGAACCCATGCAGGTCCTGTTGACCAGTAAGACATAGTGCATTTTTTACTTTGAAATAATGGCATTAACAGGTTGTCTTAAAACCACATGAAACTGAGGAGACTTGCTGCAAGTCTCGAAGATGTGGTTGCTGAAAACAAACTCAGAGGTTACTAGAGAGAGGATGGATTACTAGATAGGTATAAGCTGAGACAGTTACGCTACATTTTCTCAAAAGGCTTAAAGATGTGGGAGAAAAGGGTTGAAGCCTGTAATTTTCTGTCAGTGATTTTGATATCACTGTCATAAAAATGGTTTTGATTTCATTCCAAGAAACTGTTCTGGGAAGAGTTAATGGGCAGCAAATCCTGGAACTCCTACTCAGCTGGTGCTGCCTTAGTGTTTGCATATCCCAAGGGCTGCATTTATATGATCAAACTGTAGAAATTTCTGTTTGTTTCTTGTCTGCATGAGTCCAGATTTCTTCACTAATGGGCCCAATTAAACATGAAATCGCTCCTAGGTCCTTCCAGCCCTACCTTGACAAATTTGTATTACTGGGCATCGTACCATCAGCTTCAAGACACCAAGACATTAAGACAGAAATCTGCAATCTGTTAATACTATCATTGAGGCTTTTTGACTTCACAGCTGCACTTTAAGAAAAGGCTAAACATAACCATAGCACATTTTCAATAGGTAGAACTGTATTTTCCTAATCTATTTACCTAAAATGAACCAGTGCAAAAAGGGACCCTTTCCAAAATTTCAGCCTTTATTAATAAACAAAACAGTAATTTAGCAGTCAGGCTGCCATGAACTAAACTAAGCTAAATCAGAACTGCACTACTGGATCTTTCCAAAGTTACTACTGAATTCTCCAGTTCTATTGACTCAATATGATGAATACATTCTTAAAACACATGCATACAAGTATAAAAATGATGAAAGGCAATTTTCTTCTTTCTTTTAATCCACCAGATGTTATTACCATGAAAAGAAATACCAAGAACCAAGAGAAGTGCCTTGGAAACCAACAGGGAAATAGAATTTACTACCTTTATAACATATTCCATTGTGAACAAGAGATTTATTTTTGCAGATTGACAGACTACTTCCCATAATTCTTTTAACATGCGTTTTGTATGTCATCAACAGTTTGCAGTGACATTCTTTCCAGTAGCGTAACTGCCAGTAGTACTTAATGCTCCATTCTTTACACTTTACAACTGATGTGTAATGCTACCAAAAATTATGTAAACACAAATATTTCACCAAGAAAATTGATGTTCTGTTGCTTAATTCTACAGTTTCAAGGAATGTTTGTTTGTATATCTAGAACTACTAAAGATCTGCTCCACAGTAGTTGTGGTCACTTGATATCCTTCATGCTTATGCAATTTTTTAAAAGTTTGGTTAAAACAGACTTGCATTGGGGTCACATTGTACCCTAGTAGTACAAATTGCATGACAAGCAGGAATGTGATTCCAAGCAGACATATTTTTTGGGACAATGGAGCATGGATTTTGTACACAAACACAAGCTGCCATTAATTTACTTTATATAATAAATGTATAAAACATTCCAGCAAACGTGCAATATGTAAATACTGTAAATAATAAGCGTAAGTAATAAAGTGTTTGGTATTAAGTTGTTCTCAGTTTGCTTTCTGTTCACTGAATCCAGATAAACTATCTTCTGGTAGCTGCTATCATTTATCCACACTCAAACCTCTTTCTGTAAGAGATCTGAGTGTAGATAAGACTTTCCCTAGAATGAGAAAGAAAGGTGTACCCACCTCAGAGGAGTCTGGTCATGTGAACACTTGGTATGGATTTGTGAGGATGGACCAATCTGTGTGTTCAAGTCTAGACCACAAGGCTGCTCCAATTCTCTACAGCCTCATAATCTTTTTTATTACCAATGATTGTTTCAGGGTGTTGTTTGCATGTTAAAAAATCATAAAAAATAAAAATAAAAAAATCTGCAGTCTATTTATGCTATTGCCAGGCAATAAAAATCAGTAAACGTCCAATAAATCATTTCAGTGTCATAACATTTTTAAGGAGTTAGTGAACTCAAGAAACCTTAACACACATTTCCCTTTATTCCTTAAATCAGGTATTAAATCCAGTTGTCATTATAAAATAGTTTAAACAGGAAGAAAAATTTTATCTGTGAACTATACATGAACCTCAGGTACTCTTACCTTCATACTGTCATTTAGCTTCCATTTTACCCTCAATTCAAACCACAAAATGCAGAAACAGAACCAAACATACCCCTCTCCACCCTGAGAAACAGCTAGAAGCTGGGATACTGGAAATGCACACTTCAGAGGCTTTAGCATCTAGCTCTTCAGAAGAAAGAAAAGGCAGAAGTACAAAATGCCAGCCTAGAACTTGGCTGTATTTAGTAAAAGAGAGGTACATATTTGTTACTTGGTTTCAGTGATCACTAAATGCTGAAGTTTCATTGCTCAATGGGAGTAACACATGCATACTGAAAAACTGGTAGTTAAAAGAATCTACTACTACAGGATTCACTTGGCTGCTCACCCGCAGTAAACATATGGGTGGGTGGAACTCTGCTTCTCTGTGGTTCCATGGGCTGAGATCAGATCACAGCATATGACTGAACATGAGTTATAAATTAGTACAAATCTTTCTTTCTGTCGTAAAACACCTGAAATCCAGTTCAATAAAAATCTTCTAGAAAATCTTGCAAAAGGAAAAAAGTAATTTATTTAATGATTTAATGGATGAATATAAATAAATCAATCCCATGGAAGTCTTCTCTGGATTTAGCAGAGGTCTGTGTGCTTTGAAAGAAGATACAACTATACTATAGCACAATTTTCTGTATTTAGTCTTGGATATAACCTTACTACCTGATGTAAAACAAGCCATGGGGGAGAAGAGAGGGAAGGAGGAGTCCGTTCTGTAGTTTTCCATTCAACGTTACATTTTTCATGACGGGTATTTTAAACCTGTAAGAGCTTAGACATCTGGATGATAACTTGTATATTAATCCAATGTCCACTGCTTCTCTTGGAACCCAAATAACGGTCCTGCACAACTGTCCCTCCTGAAGGCAATCCCTTCTCTGTATTCTTGTGTTCTACAAGTGATGTAAAATACCACGGTGCTCTCCTTCCCCTTCTCCAAAAGGAACCTACTAAGGGTAAAATCAATCCATCAGCTTCTTTCTCCTAACAGAGCTGGTGAATGATTTAGCCAATAGATTGCTTGCTGAAAATATCTTAAGGCAAAAACTTTTAAAATCTTAACTGAATTTAACACAAACAGTTTTGACTTCATGTTACTTTGCAGGGAGATTCCTTAGCCTAGTGAAGTTAAACAACCATACCTTTTTATTTCCCTTCTGTTACCCCAGCAACTCAAAGATTTAAGACTTTTAAATCTTAAGTTTAATATGTAGGAAAATATAGGCTCAATTCCATCATGGTCCTACTCAGCCATGAATGGCAAAGCACAAACCATCATGTTCTCAATCTTCTGAATTATTTTATTTTCACTGGAGTATTTTAAGTGGTCATTATACCAGAGAATAACGTTAGATTACACCTAAATACTTCCACATCTGAGGTCAGCGCATAAAACCAGATTTAAGATGGTTTGTCTCTAGCTGCTCATTGTTCTCCCTCATTTACTTTGTCAAAACATCCATAAAAGAAATGGGAAATAATTTATTCCAGAGTCGGTGCTTCATCTCACCTGAAATACTACATATATCGGTTACTCTTTGTCCTGAAGTGAAACATCTATTAATTTGCAAATCCCCAGCTTGTTCTTTTAAAGTCAAAGATACTGGTAAAGCAAAAAAGCACGAAGATCCAGATTTCTGTACTTAAGTGTTCCACCTACCACTTGCCTTTCTGTAAACAGGTTCTTAAGTTTTATGTCTGATGGAAATTTTAGCACAAAACAGAAACTTTACTAACACAAACAGCTGTTCTACAGCAAGAGTCCCAGGATGGATCATCCCCATTGCGCAGGCTGCTGCACAGGCAGAGTGACAACAGGATTCTTTCCTCCTCAGGAATAACAGGGACCTCTATCAAAACGCACCCCTCTCTCAGAGGAGAAAGTGGGTGACAAATATAGAGGCTACTCTAGTAGCTAGGAAGGCAAACAGAGGGAAAAACACAGCTCCATAAGTAAGAACGCAAGTTTTATAGATCCAGTTTTACAGACAATGTGGTAATGTGAGTTCATACCAATGTTGTCATTATTGAAAATAGGACAATTCTTCTGGTATCATTTACGTTACTGATCTTACTGATCGCAGTACACTTGCGTTTCTAGGCAGAAATGAAAGGTGATAGTCAGACAAAAAGAAATGGATTTTAACAAAGCATTCAATTTTTTTTTCCAAAAGCAGAACTTTCTACTTACTGGCCTTCTGTTAACTTTGCATTACATTACAGATGGACTGTCTCTGGGCTGAGCTATGTTCTCAGAGAACACTTCTGACAGACTATCAATTCTCCTGAGTAAATCTGAAAATACTGTCTGACACCCACATAGGAACTAGGATTACAGCAAATCTCACTGAATATATTGCATGGATTTGAGTATTTTACTACTGTGAGATACAAACTGTACGTTTCACAATTAGGCTTTTATGCTGACTTGTTCTGTCCCTAAAGTAAATACAATATTACTGTGCTTGTATCAGTGCACTAGGAATTGACCAAAAGACCAAAAGAAGACTAGCTGAAGAAGTCCTGTTAACATCAATCATTATTTCTGAACTGTGTTCTTCCTAATTAGTAGAAAATGTATTAGAACAAATATTACTTTTTCTTTAAATAACTAAGCACTTAAACTGACACAAAAACATTTTCACAGGATCCTGTTGACACACACAGAGGTTTTGGTTGCTTAAGCTCTGAAATAGTGCTAAGAGCAGCATCTGTCTGGGGGCAGGCAGTTCTTTTAGTCTAGTAGGCTCAATATGGAACAGCATCAGTCCAAAGGCTGTCTAACAACACCAGGATGACACGCCTACATTATCATACATGAAGTATTATCTCACAGACTCCCAATGAAAGTCATTTGTACTAACTCACTAATGGCACAATAAGACCTCAGTTAGTTAGTACAGCAGATAAAGAAGCAAGATGTTACTTCTGCAGTGCTTGCGAGAAAGCACTGGAAAAGTTTAGAGATAAATTTATTCTGAATTACATACTTTACTACAACATTGATGTGTGATAAAACGGTTGATCAGCTAATCCAATTAAAACTTTTCTATGCTTTTTAATTAATGACAGAAAACCTAAAATATAAAATGATACTGAAACAGTTTTGAACCCCGTGAGGCATAATTTTACAATTTACATACATCAATCAAGTAAACCTTACATATTTCAGGAGAAGCTAATTATTTTCTTTCAGAAATAAAATGACGAAGCATTAATGAGACTTCTCCAAAAACACTTTACAGCATCTAACACACTGCTCGTAAACAGTTTCAAAGTCCTTTTCACTCCCCTAGAAAAGAACAGAGGAAAAGAAAACCCGTAAGAACAGCAGTAGTGGCTCAAACAAAAAGGTTTTGCAGACTGGTTTCCCCATGGTCAGCAATGGTAAATAACTGACATTAGGGGAGAATAAGATAAGACAATACAAATACATAGTGATAGCTTATGCATATTTCTCCCTAATTTGAACTACCTGCAGCTCAGGAGTTTCCACAGCCAAGCACTATAACTTTGTACTCAGCTGTCCTGGATAAACTTTCCAAGAAATTCTTCCATTCAGTTTTTGAGCCCTTATAAGCCTTTTCTTTTTTTCTTTCACAGTAACCTGTCACTTTGAGATTCAGAGTTTGATGAAAGGCTTGGTGAAAAAAAAACCTCACCCAAAAAAACAACCAAAAAAACCCCCTCAAACCCCCACCCTGTTTCCGTTTTGAACCCACTTCCCACATATGCCATTTGATAGTTCTGTTCTTCTTGGGTAATGAACAGCAATTCCTTACTCACCTTTTCCAGTGATATCAAGATTTTACAGAACCCTCCTGCACCTTCATCTACTTCACTTTTCTAAACTGAAGAATCTTAATCTAATTGGTTGCTCTTAGTTCATGTTATTCAACTTCTTTGACCATCTCTGTCCATGTCTTTGTCTCTGTCTTGATTAGGTCCTCTTTGCAAGGAGGCTGACCAACTAGAGCATCATCCAATATTGAAAACATAGATGCACTGCCTTATTTAAATTTAAGCTATTGTTATAAGCATGGACATGCTCTCTTTTCCTATCCCAATAATTCATATTGTTTTGTTAAGTCATTTAAAAAAATACATCTACACTAGGTTTTGTGTAGTATCAGATCATATATCACATGTCAATATGCGGGATCTCAAAAGATCATATGCCATATACACATAATTTTTAATCAAGCCACCAGAAGAATTCTTTTATACATACATAGTATGGATCTTCAATGATAAGTTGTTTCTGTGGATCGTAAGTCCCAAGCAGCTCAATTTTGGCCTTGCAGTCTTTAACTTGGTTGCTTTTCCTTTTCAGATCTCTGTAAAAGAGAAAGTAAAATTTTTCTGTGAATTTTTCTTCAGAACTTTTTTGGCATCAGCATGAGATGCTCAATGACCGTTTCTAAAGAACACAGGAAAACAATATGCATCTGGACTCTGCCAGTTCTGTGGACCTTCTACTCTGCTGTTTGTTTTCATTTGTTTCTTATTGTGGGGTTTGGTTTTTTTTCTTTTAATTGAGTATGGAGAACATGTACATAAACTTAATTCAAAGCATAAACAAGCAGTCAGTCACTTAAGGTTTAACAGAACTTTGTAACAGTATGTTTATCAACTTCTTCCTCAAATCAATTATTAGTACTTTCAATATCCACCTTTAGCTTCTACTGAACAAAAAATAATGGAAATTGTCCAGATATTTTTCCAGAAGTATAAGTAAGCTTCTCCCATTTGTTCAAAACCAGTGTTTTAAACTGGCATGCTGCAAGTATTGCTCTCAATACTACCTCTGTAACTCCCATCAAGCCCTATTGCATTTGGTTATCAGAAAATGGTAAACTGGTGAGCTAGACTGGTCTTCCCTCTGAGATACTGTAACATTCGATCAGTTGTCACATCCTGTTTCTTTTACATTGGCTTCCATTGATAAAACATACTTGTTTTGAGATGGTATTTTCCCCACCTACTTATAAAAAGCGGTCTATTAACCCAAATGCAGTTATAATGTACCTCTCATCATCTTCAGATTAAAAGCAGCTCAATACTATGATTTTCACAAAGCTAAACAGCCAGAAATATTCTTTTAAGATTACACATCTCCATAGCAGCTTACTTACCCAACATTAAAAAGTGAAAAACCCTGTGAATACTTAGTCATAAGCATAATCAGTTTTAAGAAATTAAATTCTAATTATTAATTCTGAGTAAGAAAATAATTTTAGAAAGTCTAGAATAGCAGTGAGACCAAAATACTGGTTTTCCTTGAAAAATCAGGACTCCTCTACAAAGTTATTGCTTTAAATTACAGATTCTCATTAAATTCTCTAGTCTTTTATTATTAAAATAATGGCTAACCCTTTTCTTCAAGGCTTTTGGCATACTAATTAATGAACAGGAGAGGGCCAAGTAGCTATGGTACTAAGGAAAAGGGATGTTCCAAATTTTTCTTTTCTGTCACTCCATCAACACCTGGAATCAGACTCTGAGTGCTACAAAAAGGCACATTTCCCAGGGAAAATGGTTGAAATGGGTACAAGTTTAAGGTGAAACTTAAGTGTAGCAGTATCAATATCCCTATTACAGTTATGACATTTCTTCTGCTCTACAGCTCGTATCATATAAATTTTTAATATAGAATAAGTTTCATTCAAGAATTCAAGTGAAAATAGAAGTAAGCCTAGTCATGCCTTTGCCTGACACGCTGCAATCAAGCAAAGTGTTTCATTCATGCAGGCTGTGTAAGAGAGGTCATTCCACACATCTAGAAAATTCAACAAAATAATACTTCGTTAAGTAGTGCTGCTTCTGAAAGTCTATGTGCTACTAACAGGGTGTTTTTGGGCCTTGGGGTTTTTTAAACTAACTTTACAAGTAACAGTCCTTACAAGCACTTTGATATTAGTACTTTATTAAAGCTCAGCTCCTTAATCCCAATCACCAATATGTATGTAATTAAGTAAAAATAATGATACCCAAATTCTCACACTAGGCAGCTACGTCACCAAATCTTTCTAAAGCATAAATTGTCTCAAAGACACACTTAATTACAACATGGCTAACAGCAACAAACAAGATTTCCCCAGCTAACAACCTTACTTATCTCACAGCTTATTCTATTTCTATTAAAAAATAAAAAAAACACAACATATTTAATCCTTTCCAAATTTCCACAGTGTCTTTTAAATCCCATGCACTTAGAAAGCCAGATCACTGATCAAGACAGTACGTCCTCATTCTTAACTGTACAGGCATCAGCTGCACATGTATAGCACAAAGCATACTCAATTTTCACATCCTTAATTGGCATGGATCACACAAATAAACCATTGAGTTCTAGCTCACTGCACTTATTAGAGGTGAAGAGTCTATCTATTAGGATATCATCCACACAAACATACAAAAACCCTAAACCAAACAAAGAAACAAACCATACCCCCTCCCTCCAAAAAACCCACAAGACAAGCTAAACAGTAAAATGTGCCATCTGCCTTCGAAGTGATTTACAAGGCATCACTAGAAGTAATCCACATGAATTTGCTTCATATCTTCATACATTACCTTAGATTGCTCTCATCCATACAGAGTATATAATCAAAGGTCTGGAAATCATCTTTAGTAACCTAGAATTAAAAATACGTGCTTTAGCCTATAAACTGTGTTTGATTTATAAAAAGGGGAAAGAAAGTACTTTCAAATTTTGTAGTTCTGATTTATTAAAAGAAAAACAGATGGAAAGAATAAAACTGTGTACCTTCATCAACTTTTACAATAACTTAAGACCTTTTAGGTATACTCTGCCGTAATTACCCACTTCTGCAAGTTTTCCACAAAAAACCCAAGTTAACTATTTCACCAATACAACTGACATTTCTAGTGCTTTCCAATTACTAAAACTAAAGTAGGTTTCCAGTTACAGACACCATGCAGTGAAAATGTAGACGAATTACTTGCTTGATAGGAAAACAAAAATGAAGGTGACCTGGAAATCAGCTGCAATAATTCTCATCTAGAAATTTGTCATTACATACACAGAAAAAAGATACCAAATGAAATTCAAAGCTAAAGTAAGATGGTATGAGTTACAATCCCTTAAACACAAATGTATTCACAGTATTTTAGGCCATATAAAGTTCACAAAATTTATAGTATGATGTAAAAAAACACTGGGATCTATTGTACATCTTCCTACCACCATACCATGTTCCTTCTCTTTCCTGTAGTAGGACTACTGACTCCTAAGCATGAATATTAACTACATTCTAAATTCAAGATCCGAGTTCAGAGTCAGGTAGGCAAACATTGCAGATAAACCACTAACTTAAGTACTAATGTTATCTGTATTGAATAAGGATGGCTGCAGATTTTTACCAGTATAATTATATTTTATTTTACACTTAAGCCTTAGCATAAGACCTTTTCAGACCATGTCTACAATGCACAGTATGCTAGTATAAGATATCTGAACAAAGTGTCCATAATGAGAATGCATAAATGGAATAAAATCTGTAATGAGTTCACATTAAGACTGCATTTCATTAACAGTCTGTGGAAGTTTGTTCAGTACAGGTTTTTCTGGCAGGCATCTCTGAGAAGGATGTGCAGACAAGTGAGTGAGCAAGTGAACAGACAAAAGGGCAAAACACTTTATCCTTTAAGTCAGAGTTTTAACTTGTAAAATTCATTTACATATTTTAAGAAAAGTTTAGATGGCAAAACACCCACTTGTTTTTTGTGCAAGCAGCAGATAGATACTGATCAAGCCCCCATAATAGCAGTAAGAAAAGACACACAGAAATCACCACCAGAGTAAAGCCATTAAATGAAATATTCCACACAAGGAGAATTGAATGAGTGAGGTGTGGGGGAGGGAACATTTGAAAAGAAAGGGTTAATAGCGGAAACTAATGCAAACTTGTTTATTTTCACTGTAAAAATATTTGCTGTATTCATGCAGTGCCTTTGACCTACGAAAATATTTTTGCAGTGGAAATAGCTCTGTTTTCCTGGCAACTCTAAGCAATACCTCTACAAGATGCTTCTGATCACTCTACAGGGCTAAATACTAGCCCCTATGAAAATATGTGTAGTGCAGGCATACATAGGAATAAAATAAAAACCAGTGAAAGGGAAAAGCATACCCGCCACACTTCCCACACTCCCTGTGTACTTGACAACTTGATAGTTACTTCCCTGTGAAAGAGCATTAGCACAGCCCTAAAAACAAGATTACTGGCTCGCTTGTGCTCATAAGCCTCACAGTAATGTCAGATACAAAAAGCTTAATTGAGCAAACTCCAGTGAACTGAAGATACTCCTCAAAAACTGTAAAAACTAGTACTCTGGGGGAAGAAATTGAGGACGTAAAAATTTATATACATTTTGAAGAGAGTAGCGGAGAGTTCAAGTAGTCAAGTTTGGATGGAACTACACAAACGGTAACTTTACATTCAAAAAAAACCCCAAACATATAACCATTATTAAAGACCATCAATGGAGAAACATATCAACATTCTAATTTATTTCTTAAAAATTTCCCTTTGTTTAGAGGAGGGAAATCTTTCCTCTGTCTAAAAAACAAAGAGAGGCAGCAGTCCTCAAATTTATCCAGTTGTGAAACAGTGTTAAATAGCAAATGGAGATTAGAGGAAGGTTGTGTTAAAGGCAAATGCACAGTATGAGTCATATAGAAATCAATTTTGGTTTCAGCATGAACAAAAGTGAAACACAATTAATACCTATCTGTTTTGTGCATGAAGAATAAGAGTTTAGAGAATTTCAACCAGTGCATAAACATATAGCAACCTACCATCAACTAAAATGTTAAAATACCCTTTATTTTATATATGAATATATACATTTATTGTTATACTTCACTTTTTACTTAAAATTCACTTGATCACTGTATATGATGGTAGGATGTAACCAATTTAACATTTTCTCTTACACAAATCATTCTTGTAGCATTTATGCCAGTTTTGCATTAAAGATACAATCCATGATTGTCATAATTATGCACAAAATTACATGAAAGAAAATGCCTTTCACTGGATGGGTAACAGTTTTCCACAGGAGTAAAGAGGATAATTGCATGAGGTACTCATCATATGACAGTATTTCGAAGGCAACAGAAGATAAATCCCTCCTCTCTACTCCTGCAGCTCCTGTATTAAATCTTTCTTAATCTATTCTGAAACAAGTCACATACAAAATTCTATCCTTGAGTTTGTCTCTAATGGTGAAACAAATACACTTCCATTTGTACTAACCTGACCACTTTGAAAACTCCTATTCTACACTGTTGAGTCTCCCTGCTTTCCAGAAGAACTACAAGACCGTATCAGGTCCACAGTTTAGAGAATCAGCAGAGACCATCTGACAGAAGCTTGAAAACAATTATCTGAGTTGCACAGTTAACATCAGTGCAAAATTAACAGTTACCTCTAGTTCAGGGATGTGAAATTTTCCTCATAAAAGAAACTGCTTGTACTGGAATGTTTTAGAAAAAAATTAATCCTCTTAGTCTTTCATTCTATTGTCTCATTCTTGTTAATTTTCTATCCCTTTATATGTAACGTTTTAGGCTCTTCTGCTTTAAGAATCTCTTAATTTGCCAGAATGTTTAAGCAAATGTCTTCATTACAGTGTTTTCATTCCCTCTCTGCCAAAGGAGATTACATGAATATGTTTCAAAGGAGAGGATCAACTAGTTTTGAGTGCTTTGCTTTAATTTAACTACTTATAAACCACCCTAGTAATACCCAAGAACAGTTCTCAAGTTTCCAAGGCTTGTCTTTTAAGAATGCAAACAAATTACACTGTTTTGACAAACACCAACTGATTAGTTTCAGTACCATTTAGCTTGTGTAATGATAAGTAATACTGTGTATCATTTATCATTACACAATCATGTAATAATAAAGCACTGATAAATAGTAAATCCAGAACTTCTAATACGAAAAGATCAGAACAGACTTCCCTTATATTTATTCCAATAGTAAAACACTGAACATCTGAAACAATGTTGTGCTCGATCCTGTTTCTTATTATATAACGGAGATCAGCATAAGGAGGGGTCAGCAGAGGGCAATTCACTAATTGAGGGAATTTATTTTTGAAAGTTAAAAACCTAAACATGTAGTCTTTGAAAGTGAACAAAGTAAATATGACCTCAGTGAGGTCTAGGAAATTCTGAAGGGAACAGAAATGGAAGGTAATAACAAGACTACTTGACCTTTTTGTCAATACAAAAACTAGTGGCATAAACTCAAGCTAACTAAAGGTCAAGCCCTAAAGGACTACCTTATATCCAGAGAATAGTTAAATGAAGTAAGTTATGTGCATTTATTGGAGTGTCTGAATTATTTAAATAGATGCATACACATTTATTTCCAGTCTCTCTGGAATGCAGCATGTAAATACACATTCTTTTGTTCATGAAAACTGAGACGATTTCATTAGAAGACGAGCCGCATTTAAGCTAAGAATGCTTCAATAGTACATTTTCCTCTGAATTTACCACCAACCATGCTATTAATCTGGGGTTTGAGTGCCTTCACTCTAACTTAGCACCCCTTTTTTTTTTTTTTTTGTAAATGGTCTTCATGCAAGAGCAGCAGCTTTTTGTTACAGGTGAACAGGTATTCTACTTCTTTTTGGACCTGCTAAATAAAAATACAATTCCTGTCTCCAAGCAGCATCATGGATTACTAGAGTAGGTCCATTTTAAAAAGTATTAAAAAAAATATTGTTTCATAAAAAGTCACAAAATAGTAAATACTTGAAGGCAGGATTTTCCCACAATTGCTCCTATATTCCCTAGTTATACTTCCACTGAAGCTTAATAATAGGAAACTCACTAACCTCAACTTTAAGAGTTAGGCCACTTCAGAGACCTTTGAAAAACTAAACATAGTATTTGTTACTTGGTCCTTAACCATGCATTGGTCAAATGACTTCTGTGATTGGAATGGTTAGGACTAAACAAAGCATCGGTATGAATAAGAAAGAAAATATACTCTCTTCTACCTGCCGTGCCTTATGTGCTGTCTCAATGCCATGATTTCTTAGACAGCTTAAAGCCCTTGTATCTGGGGAGCGCCCCACGTTCCAGTCTGAAACAGCAGCGCTGTCTGTCATCCACTGTAACAACAAAACAAATATACACATATATTTAAAGAAAATTAAAGTACAGTACCTGCCTGGCAATATGATTCATGGTAATGCCATGCTTCTTCATGCAACTCTGTCCTCGATAGTCAGGAGGGCTTCCTATTTCATAGGCAGATGTTGCTGCACTGTCTATCCTCCACTACAGAAAAACAGATTTATATTTTTATGTTTCCTTTCTCACTGTTTATATTTCTACTGAACTGGCTAGGAGACAGTTATTTCTTAGGCAGGAACAGAAATAAATAGCTTACCTTATTTTCAACTTTTTCATCAGTTACAAGTTTTCTAAAAACTGCTTCAGCTATTGGAGAGCGACAAATGTTTCCTACAGAAACAGGAGATTAAAGTGAAATTTAAGGCAATTAAAACCAAATAATCAACAATTGTGTGGATTTGTCAGCACAGATCAAAGATTTTTAGTTACTTAGGAAGAATGTGGATCACTTACATTATTATAACCCAGGAGATTCTGTAAGTGTGGAAGCCCAGAGTACTGTACCTGGGTTCCAGCAATCGCCAGTATACAGACTGAGGGATGAAGGGATTGAGAGCAGCCCTGTGAAGGAGGACTTGGGGATACCTGTGAGTGAAAAACTGGCCATGAGCCAGCCTTGTGCACTCACAGCCCAGAAAGCCAACTGTATCCTGGGCTGCAGCAAAAGGAGCGTGACCAGCAGGTCAAAGGAAGTGATTCCCCCACTGTACTCCACCCTGATGAGACCACTAGCACAAAAAAGACCAATGCAGTGAAATGGCTGAACAACCTGCAGTAGAAATGCTCTACTGACAAAGGTGTAAATAAGTTAACCACCTAAGGTAGGCCTCTCAAAAATGCATGCAAAAATACACAGTCTTTGACAAAGAATGAAGTATCTCAACAATAAAAAGTCTATTCAACTATTACTTTATCTCCCACATTTTCATACTTCAGAAACTGAGTAACTAGATGACTATCCATAATATTTGGTATGCCACCCAGCTGCACAATGAATCATGCAAACAAATCTCCACTTTCCACCAAAGAGAGTGTATGACTTTGCTCACCTCTTACTTTTGAACGGGTAAGTATAAAAGACCACAAATGGCAACACTCATTTCTATACCTTTAAGTAATCACTCTGCTACTACTGATAGAGATCTTTTCAAACCTCAAACAGTAAAAAAAAAAAAAAAAAAAAAAAAAATAAAAATCAGATCAGGCACTTGGCCTCATTTTCATGCCTGTATTTTTCAAACTAAGCATCAAGGTAGATACTTCTGTGCTAAAGAAAAAGAAGCTGCTATGATCTGGGCATTTAATAACTTGCCATCAATCATACCACCTATAAAAAAGCCCAGCATGGGAAGTGAGCCACTAATAGAAATCTGATGTCAAAGTTTTAGAAAATATCAAATCACTAAATGGGCAAAAGGAACTGGCTAACCACTGAGAAACAGATCTTGCTGAAACATTAAGGGAATTGTGATGGCAGCAAATCTTCTTCCAGGAGAAAGCATATTATTTCTTTTGTCTGAAGTAATTTCTTCCAAGCAGAGAAACTAAATTGGTCTTACAAGAAAAATAAAGCAGGGAAAGTTGGTTTTATTTATAAAGTAAGCAAGAAAACAGGGTAGCAATTAATGATAAAAACATTAAAGAATGCGGTAATGTATTAAAAAGTTAATCTCACTTTTTTAATTTAATAAGCGAGTTAGGCATTAACCAATATAATTTTAACAGGAAACAGAAGGAACATGTAACATACATGAATACTTTCTTCCCACGGTAGCCTGAAACCTTCAAATTCCCACTTAGTATTTATTCTTGCATGGCTACGCTCATCTGATCTTTGTTAACATCACTATGTTAAAAACCTTTCTTTCCTTTAACAGATACAGCACAGCTGTGCTAAACTAAACAAACCAAGCTCTTGGTCTCCTCATGAAATGTAACTGACTCCTTATCCAATCAGTCCAAATAAGCCAGCTCTGTGCTTGTTCTAATTTCAATTTATTTTTCTTGAATACAGGCAAATATAGCCACAGACTACACTGCAAGCAGCTTTTTACCAATTTGTTTTATAAAAGAAAAATAAAAAATCTTAAATATTTACTTAGGTCTTTTGAAAACTACCTGAGATAACTTCTACAATCGCATTTGACTCCTTCGTGAGTATCAAGATTTGTGATCATAATCCCCTACTTCTAATTTGTCCATTCCCTCTTTCTCCTGTTGCATGAAACAGGTGACATTTAAGTCTTCTTTCTAAGCTATTAAATTCTGTTTCTATTAAATCAGCTGTTGAGGACATCCACTGTGTAATATTTTTCCTCTGTATGAACGATCCCACACAATTTGTGCATGAACAGTAAGTTTTATTACTACATTCAAAATTTCGGTAATAAACAATGATTAATACTATTGGCCCTACTAATTCATTAACCACCTGCCAAAATTTCAAAATGTTTCTTTTGGAATAAATCCTTCATTGCTTTTTCTATTTGTTTTAACCTTCTGCTTTACCTGGATAGAATGAATTGTTCCAAATTTTCACCCTTCTACAACCTGCTCACTTATTAAAATAAATGCCACAAATATCATCGTTGATGATAACATATAAAAAAAATATCATCATGAATGGCACCATGATCACTGACTGATTAAATGTATTTACTACTACTTCTAGCAATAATTAGAAACTGTAGTTACATTATTTCTGAAACAAAACACGTAACCTAGTTTGTGACTTAAAAATAAACATATTCCATGATGACACATTCCAAATACTACCAGAATTATTAACTCTATTATGGAACTGCAGCCATCATTCAAATCTATTCTTGGGGACTATGGCCCAAATCCTAAAGCTGACTTAACAGAACCTCTTTTCTCCTCATGCCCTGCAATATTATTTTCATCCTAACCAACTCTGCCTATTCATGCTACACCTTGTGACTGTTACCATTCAGCTCATCATTAATGCAAAGCCCTATCTTTTCTCACTGACTTATGCAAACCTCAATCTTTGTTTTCCAGTCACTGTCCCTTTCCAAATATAATCTCTATCCATTTTGGACTCCATTTTACATCCCACATCTGTCTTTCCAGGCTTTGCCAAGGTTCCTTACAGGTGCATAGTATTTCCAAAGCTATGGATTGACAGCTGGAACTGGGGAATGAAGGGGGCAATCTCAGAAAAATATTCATAAGGAGATTACCTTCCTCCTTGATATTGAGCTTTATTTCCCTTAAACATTATCTACACTCTATCTCTGCTCTCTGTCCTCCTCTGGTGTTCCTTTCTCCTTTGTCATATTTCTGACTGATGTGCTCATGCTCTTTTTATGTAGAAGATAACAGTATTAAGTTCTCTGAATCTCCATCTTTTCTGTTTTTTATATTTCAACCTCTTTAAGTTGCAGTGACATTTTCAATCACAGAAAGACAGTACCTAAGGTACCAGACAGTCTGCCCACTGAAATACATCCTACAAAATTCTCCAAATGTGATGATTCAAAGATAAGAGACTTAAATTTCAATCACAGAATCAGTACTGGAACCATTTATTGATTACTTTTACGGAGTCATGCTTTCTCACTCATTTGCTAGGAACAAGGACTCCACTGATGGCTATCCAAGCCAATGCTTCATTTTCAGACTTCTTACTCCAGTTTCTGCTTTGACCCATTCCCACAGAAATGGAAGCACTGCTTCTACTGACAAGATAGACAACCTGAATCCATCTCATGCTCAGGTCCATAACTCATCTCTAGATACTGCTGATGTAATCATCTATTCTCTCAATCATTTTTGTATCTTCACTGTTCCTTATTCAGCTTTTTCAGAGCTTCCCTAAAGCAAACAAAGGTTTTTCTCTCCTTTGTTTTTCTATTGTATTACAGCAGTTTTATTCGCTTTCATCCTTTCACATTTAAAAACCTGCTTTTAACTCTACTTATTTTTCCATGCACATTTCATCTGAGTGACTATAATAATGCTTCCCAGTCCCATTTGCATGATCCATCAGGTTCCCTTTGTAAGCAAGCATTTAAAACTTACTACTCATTCTATTCAGTTCTGTACTCAGACTCCTGTCTGAAGCTCATCATGAGTCCTAGTTCCTTATGGTTAAGTCTATCGCATCACACTCAACAGTTACCTTTGTAAGGAACCACTCAAGATTGATATTAGCACAGACTCCCTGGCTTTTCCATTCACAATCTCCTTGAATACTTACACTCTTTATCTAAAACACTTAAGTATATGGCTACCAAAATGACATCTGACTTTCGTATATGCCCCCCACTATCAAGACCCAGTGGGATTTCTCTCAGAAGTAGAATATTAGCCAGTGCATGTATATGTATCTAAGAAGAACTCCATTTTGGCTCAAGAGATCTAAATAGTGATCTCTACAGAAGCACTAGGTTTCAAAGTCCCTTGCCAATCAAGGTTTAGTCAATGTAACCGATGTCAATAGCAATATGACTTGCCAGGATTCACGGTAGTCAAAACATCAACTAATTTGCTCATGTTCACATTTTAAAAATCTTCCCCTGCAGCAAGATTTATGATACTGAGTTACCAGCTACTGGAATACTAAGCTTTATCCCAGCAATCTAAACGTTCCCCAATAACAAATTAGGATTTCCAACAAATAAGCACTTACTTACAACTACAGACTTTTTTAAGCATACATCTTAATCGTATTTTCCAATACCAAGATCACTTTTACAACCATGCTTTCAAAATCTCTAGTACTTCTGCATCACTGAAACGCAGACTAAATAAGGCATGTATTCCTACAGCTACCTTTACCAGTGCTCCACAGAAGAAAGGTATTTTTCTTATGTTTATCCAACATTCTCTTCCTTAGAAAAAAAAATGGCATTATTTCTTTTTGTCAGCTTGCAAAGAACCCTCATTACAGCAGCCGTTTTCTGTAACGTCTTCAATGTCTTATCCAACCTACTGCTTTCCCATTCTGCAGCTATAAACTGCATTTTATCCCACGTATTTGGCTGTACCTAAACATATGTAATGGATTGTGACAACTGAACTAGTGACCTGGGTTCAGCTGTAGCAGTCATTTTTCTCCTTCTTAGTAGCTGGCGCAGTGCTGTGTTTTTTGACTTTCAGCCTGGGAACAATGCTGATAACACCGATGTTTGTAGTTGCTGCTCAGTAATGTTTACTCAGACCAAGAACTTCGTGAGTCTCATGCTCTGCCAGGGAGGAGGGGAAGCCGGGAGGAAGCAGACACAGGACACCTGACACAAACTAGCCAAAGATGTATTCCATACCACAGCACGTCATGCCCACTATATAAACTGGGGGCAGTTACC